AGTGTAATTTTATGTAAACTGTTATACATTATAATTTAATCAATTTCATCACAACCCTTAAAATTTCCATGCATGTGGATTTTTTGAATTCCACTGCAATGCTGCAGTAAGCTTGTGAGCGGCATGTCATGGACAAAAAGTCCCACATCGGCTAGGTGTAGGGCCGAAAAACAGTATTTAAGTCCTGGGTTGTCCACCACCCCTAAGAGCTTATTTGGGAGGTGACAAGTGGTATCAGAGCAGATTACTGCCTGCCAGGTGTGTGGACTCTCTATGATCCAGTGGGACCCTTGATGGAGCCGATCCGTGACGAGGGAGTCACGTGATTGGGTGGAGGAGATTGTCACGGACAAAAAGTGCCATATCGGCTAGGTGTAGGACCGAAAAACAGTATTTAAGTCCTGGGCTGCCCACCACCCCTAAGAGCTCTTTTGGGAGGTGACAGACATATTAAAATTAAATTAAATTTTTTGGAAAATTTTATCAAAACCAAAACTAATTCATTAACTTTCCTGTCTTTGAAAATCATCATACAGTTTTATATATCAAAATGATCATTTTGAATAGTAGAATACATCGATTTTTTTTTAATGATTTTTGAGAAAGTTAAAATTTTGAGTATATTTAATTTTGGGTAGCAAATGTACCTTTAAAAAATTAGGTATTACATAAATCTTCTCTAAATTTAGGGTTGGAGGTAATGCTTAATTTGAATGGAAAGTTGAAATGCATCTTCGAGAGGTAAGCCTCTCATGTGAATATCTCGATGTAAGTTTGCTCTTAGACTAGATTGAAATCTTAAGATTGTGGTATTTCGATCTTATGTCACATCACAATAGTTAACTCATCAAAGCAAGCCATGTAATCAGTAGTGGCCATTGATTCTTGCCAAAACCTATGAATGTCATCGAGGAGTTTATCATGAAAGGTTTGTGATATACTTTTTCCATTTTGTCATTTCATGAATGTATGACTTGGCTGCTTATTTTCTATTCAAGATTCATCTAGCACATCTTAGGTCAAACAGTCAAGCTTATGTAGGCAAAATGAATTTGCCACTATTAAAATATGGCATCCAAACAAGTAATAGTCTATGTGTATGAGCTAATCAAGGAAGATTTTGTGGTCATGTTGACCAGCAAAAGTAGGTTGATCTACATATATAATGTTTGAGATTTCAATACGTCTGTTGTGAGGCGATGTAGTGTTGATCCATTATTCTATAATGGCTCTTTGAAGTGGCGAGGGCAACTATCACAAGGCGCTTGTGAAGCATGGCCATCATCTCTATCATGTTGTTGCCCCATCTAAGATGTGCATTAAAAGTGCACTATCGATTTTATGGTAACAATCATAACCTTTCATATGGTAGGGACAATGATGATGATGGTGAGGCCTAATAATAGGATGTAGATGAGGCAGAGTTAGCGAGATGTTATTTACATCTTTTGAGTGGGTTATCGTGATTTAAATAAGATTATTGTTGCAGTAGTAGTGGCACACTAACCCTATACTTTAAAACCATAAACTAACATGAAATTCATGTTTTCGATTTGCTTCCGTAAACTAGTGCAAGGATCATCATGTTTGATTTTAGTACATATGTTTTATATATAAAAATCCCGAGGGCAAATATATTAATACGAAAAAGATACAAAAATGTTGTATGAGAGGATTTAAAAGAAAGTTTAACTCATACAATATAATAAACACAAAACTCAGATAAAACAAAGATACAAAAATATTGAAAACCAAAAAGCCACAAAAGTGCGCACAAGTGTTAGGGACGTCCCATTTTAGTCCTCCTATCTCTAAAAGTGCTAGGGACGTTCCACTTTAGTCTTCATTCCTCTAGTTATCGGAAGTGAGCCGGCTAACAAATTGGTAAGGTGTGTCTCATTGCCCGTAGTAACCAAAGTATCATCCATCAGATTCCTAAGCTCAAGTAGATCTTTATTCTTCTTCTTCCTCTTAGATGTGTAGACCTGCCATTCCTCATTCGATGATTGGTCTGATAGATGTAGGTGGTTGCACGTCTTGATCCCCATGAACCCGAGTAATTTTAACATCTTTCTGGACCTGATGAGGCAGTTGCGAAGCAGTAGAAGTATTTCCACCTGTATTATCAGTGATAGGTTATAGGGCAGGAGGGGTATGAAGAAACTCCCTCTCCCCCACGATAGGAGGTTCCAAAGACGAGGGAGCTACATTTGGGGATTGAAAAGTTGTCATATTGCCTGCCTGATCAGAAGATGGAATCACAGCCTCTAGCGGAGCAATTTGCTTTTTTGGTTTGTGGTGGGGGTGTAGATGGTGACATTGAGATCTGGAGTATCCGAACATACGATAGTTCGAACAATACGACGAAAAATGTTCAATCTTTAGCTTCTGTCAATGTCCATGATGTTGTGTGCCCAACCAGATTTCCTCAGAAGTGGGCAAAGTGATGTCTCTTTCAACAAGTATTCTGGCTTCAGAAGGACGGGACATATTAAAAGTAGGAATGTCCGTCTTGAGTGGCTTTCTATAAGCTGAGACAATAGAGTACAATACTTTTTGAGAAAAATAATGAAATTTCAGATCAGGGAGACGAATCTAAACCGGACTGATAGGCGGTTCCGTTTGTGGGTCAAAATCCACAGACCATTTCAAAATCTTCATTGCTCTGTTATCAATCCATATTATCCTTCTAGCAAATAAGCGCATGTAATCTTCTTCATTGCTAATTTAAATTAGAATGTGTCTCCCATCTAATTGCCCGATTTTCCATTCTCCAACAAGGTGCATAAGTTCAAATTCTTTGCGAATGAGCTCCATTTTGGGATTACCATATTGAAATTTTCCAACCAAATTCAGACGACAGGAGGAAACAAGTTGAATACCTTTAGCTTCTGTAAAAAAAATGGCAGACTTCCGATTCTTCCTACCAGGTTTTTTGATGTCCTCAGCCGACTCAAACGGAGGGAAATATGATGATTTTGGTGTGCCTGAAGCATGGACACCTGCATATGATTTGTCTGAAGCCATCTTCAAAAATAGTTGCGACGTTTTCGCGTCGAAATAGCTGAAGCTAAGAAAGAGACGGCGGGGTGAGATGGGACTAGCGCAGAGAACGCAGAAACGAGCGGGAGACGAGCCTAGTAGAGAGGAAACAACGAGCGGTGAGACGAGCAGCAGAGCACGCGAGCCTTGTCTCAGAGCCGGAAGAAGCGAAGGACGCAGAGCACGCGAGCGCTAGCATCGTCTCAGAGCCGGAAGAAGCGGGGGAGACGAAACGAGCTCAAAGAAGCCTATAGGAAACAGCGAGGCCGAAGCCGTAACTGTTGCTAGGGGTCGCCATCGGGCGAAACCCTAGCAGAATCGAGCGAGGAAGACGACGCCATTAATCTAGAAATTACATACATTATCTTATACATAGCTTTAGATCATATATATATATATATATATATATATATATATATGCGTGTGTACACACACATTTGAATCATTAAAAAATTATTAATATTTTAAAGTCTGTATGTCACTTTCTAAAAATATAAAGTAGTTCTATTTTTTATGTGATATGAATCGTTTGGGTGGTATAAATGTAAAAATTAAAGTATAGGTGTCTACTATGTAAATGCATAGGAATTGAGTGGCATTTATGCAAATATCCATATATATGTACTCTCTCTCTCTCTATATATATATATATCCATATATATACTATGCATATTTATATTTATACTTATACATATGTATAATTTGTGCTACATTTAAGTTGAAGTTGATGTTGTCCATTGTCAGAGGAATCTTCTTTCTTAAAAGTTCTCTAATTTATGTGGTTTCTTACTCTCAATAGCTGTTTGGTGATAAACGCATAAAGAAAATTAGAATAACTCGAGAAGCAATATTTCATTCAATTACATGGCCAACCAGATATAAGATAAATCATGATATTTATAAACTTAAATAAAGAAGCCAAATGGGGGGATGATGAGGTGGTAAGTCAACAATAACTTAGTAAGTAATATGGTTTTTTATGGAGATTATTTTTGGTGATGACAATTAAGAGTGGTAAAAGATACGCTAATTTGACCTAGGTTAAGTGATGGAAGGTTTAGGCTTGTTCATGACTCAAGTTTATATAATTATCATCACACAATACATCATAAAACACTAAGCCTGTTGACTCAAAATATGACACGACTCAAAAGCTGGAAGGGTCCATCAATAATAAAAATACAACTAGATATGCTCTAGGTAGATGAGAATTATTACTTCCCTCCATCTCATTATTGAACCTTGAATGACTGAGAGCAAATGTATCATTTTTGAGGGGGACAATGTGAACGTGATCATCATTTAGAGGGAGTTTGGCAAGCCCACAAACCAGCCAACCCAAGTTTTTAATTCCTCTGGCAGTTCAAACAAGTTATTTTCAACACAACTAGAGATGGAAATTGAGTTGCACACTGTTGTGCCCATTTAGCCTTTCAAGAGGAGTTTATTTTGAAAGATGTTGCTGAGCAATATGCTCTATTTTTCTCTTATTTTAGAGGATAGGTCTCATTTTGTAAATGTCTAAAGGCATAATTTAGTTCACATTTTCTTAACTTTTTGCTATATCAATGTACTTGCTGCAGTTTAAGCTAGAGGACTAAACTCTATTACTGATGATGATGACAACTATGATGTCTTGCATCAACAATGCATGCATAAGAGTATAATTTTTTCATCATATGTGCATGCATGTAAACAAGAATTTGTTTACTAGTGTTTGCATGTGGGTATACAAGCATGCAGGGGGTTATCGGGGAAATATGCTTCTTTGAATAAAGTTTCTGCTACGCTAAAATATTTTTATTGTTGGTCTTTAATTCTCTTCTCAATTATGCTGCAAACTTTGTGGTTTAAGAAACATTTCCTGCTTTTTGATTCATAAAGAAAATTGTTAACCAAGCCTAAGTTGCAGTGATTTCAAGAGTTCTATAACTGATTTCTTTTTTCTTTCTTTGCAGCATCTCGAAAAGCATCATCATTATTGAATGGAACAGGTGGGAAGGATACTATTGCGAGTTTATTAGCTTCACTGATGGAAGTGGTCCGCACAACTGTAGCGTGTGAATGTGTTTATGTGAGAGGAATGGTTGTAAAAGCTTTGATTTGGATGCAAAATCCTTATGAATCATTTGATGAATTGAGATCTATCATTGCCTCAGAGTTGTCTGACCCAGCTTGGCCTTCCGCACTCTTGAATGATGTTTTACTTACTCTGCATGCTCGGTTTAAGGTACAGTCATGATTGTCTCTGTTATACCTCAAGCGCTTTAGTTGCAATATGTACTTACGTGGGTTTCTTGCTCGTAATATAAAGCTATTCTGCTTAAGAAAATCAAGTGAAATGTAGTAGACCAAAAATGGGTTGGTTAATTCTTTAAATTTTGCAAAGTAACAATGTGTTGTCTTCATAGATATATCTTCGTATCCTCTCTTTCCC